CTCCGTCTCCGCCGCCTCCATCACCGCCACCACCCTCGCCGCCGCCACCATCTCCGCCGCCGCCCAGCCCGCCATCCCCCTCGCCGCCACCGCCCTCACCGCCGCCTCCGACGAGAGCCCCCCACCACCGCCGCCGTCACCGCCGCCGCCGTCGCCGCCGTCGCCCTCACCGCCGCCACCCTCACTGCCGCCGCCGCCGCCGCCGCCGCCGCCGCCGCCGCCCGGCCCGCTGCCGCCGTCGCCGCCTCCGCCCTCGCCGCCGCCGCCCTCACCGCAGCTGGCCTCACCGCCGCCGCCTAGCCCGCCACCTCCCTCGCCGTCTCCACGGTCGGGTTCGCACCGAGCCCACCGCCGCCGCCGCCGCCGCCGCCGCCGCCGCCGCCGCCGCCGCCGCCGCCGCCGCCGCCGCCGCCGCCGCCGCCGCCGCCGCCGCCGCCGCCGCCGCCGCCGCCGCCGCCGCCGCCGCCGCCGCCGCCGCCCTCACCGCCGCCACCGTTGCCGTCGCCGCCGCCGCCCGGACCACCGCCGCCGCCGCGGCCTCCGCCGTCGCGGCCTCCGTCCTTCTCGCCGCAGCCCTCACCGCCGCCACCGCCGCCGCCGCCGCCGCCGCCGCCCTCGCCCCCGCTGCCGCAGCAGGCCGCCGTCGCTGCCTCGCAATCGCCGGCGCCGCCGCCCTCGCCGCCGCCGCCCTCGCCGCCGCCGCCCTCGCCGCCGCCGCCGCCCTCACCGCTGCCTCCGAGCCTGCCGCCTCCCTCGCCGCCGCCGTCACCGCCCCCACCGAGCCCGCCGCCGCCGCCGCCGCCGCCGCCTCTGAGCCCCCCACCGCCCTCACCGACGCCGCCGCCGTCGTTGCCGCCGCCCAGTCCGCCGCCGCCCAGGCCACTGCCGCCGTGACGGCTCCTCTCGCCGCCGCCGTAGTCGCCGCCGCCGCGAAGGCCGCCGCCTCCAACATCGACTGCACCGTAGCTGCCTCCAGTGAGCCCGCCGCCGACGGCGACCGCGCCCACTGTTGGCGCCTCAACCCTAACTTCCACCGACGCCTCCCCACTGGCACTCGCCACCACAACCCACGGCGCACGCAACCCAATCCTGTTGGTCGTACAGACCACCTCCGCGCAATCCGAAAAAA